CTATTAGAACCTAGCTTACAATAGGATTAGGCTTTTATGGTAACATATATTTATTACACATTTTTTTAAGAAAAAACAATATTTTAAGGTACAAAATAAAAATGTACGAAGAGAAATACGTGCATAATATAAATAATTTGGAGTCCAAAATTCTAAACATCTAATACATTCCTCAATACCAAGCTAAACTTTTATATTATATATTAGTAAATAATGATATTATGTTCTAGAGCGCCTCTTCTTTAAATCTATAATATGTAAAATTATAAGATTATTTATAGGCAGCACGCTGTGTACAATAGGTACCTCATAAGCACTCCTGAAATATGTATTAATTAAACTATATGGGCCATCTGTAATAAACATTATCATCAATTATCTTATTTTAAAATATTATTGTTAATTTTTAAAACCAATTTCAGATGACAAATGTTCAATATTTTATTTTTATTTTTGTATAATAATTTATGCTGATCATCTCATTATAACACATATAAATGAATCTATTAACCACACATTTGTCTTATATTTTATACATAAATATAAATGTATCTCCAACACGAGTACACGTCATATACATGCATTTATAAAATAAAATTTTACTAATTTATCATTTCCAACACCCATCGAAAAAGTAAAAATATTTGAAAAAATAATCAGTATGTATTTGTCAATATACATGGCAAAAGAAGAATAAGAACATATTATTTATCCACTTAAGATTGTGGATGGAGAATAAAAATATAATTTAAATTTCTTACTAATTACTGATGGAGATAAACGCCACAACACCTTCATCTTTAAAATTGTTTGGCTGATCCGTGCACAAAAACATGACACACTGAACATGTTTATTTTTGCAAACTGTACTTTACGTTATTTTACAATTAGTTCCTGAAAAATAAACTAAGTGGACAAGCAGCACTAGATAAGCACAAACTGATAAGTGGAACACACAAACAATTTTTACCTCAGATGCCTGCACCCGGGTCAATGTTAGAGTTCAGTAAGACTCAATGCCATCCAATAGTTATATAAGCCGAATTAAAGGCACTTTTTGTTAAATGTAAAGAAAGCAAAGACGAAAAACAACAGCCTTTCAAAAACATGAGACAATGAACTACGGACTCTTCGTAAAAGCTACAGAAAACGTTTCGATTGATTTGTTGGAAAAATTCAATTTTCCACAAGAACTTATTATTTTTTGCTGTAGTAAGCCGCATCAAGACGTAGCCACAAGATTCGTGAATGAAGCGTCAGGGAAAATTTCAAGATTTGTCTAAAATAAATAAACCGATATAATAATCGAGGAAGAGCAAACAGCGCATATTTTGATAAATACTTGCAATTTATGTAAATGTAATTTTTCGTATAAATACTGTATAGTAGCAAATCACTGCCACTTAACAGGCAAAGTCCGACAAACATTGTGTAATACTCACAACCTCAAACTTCAAACATCGAATTTCTACAAATTTATTAAGTTACAATTCTCACTCAATGAAAATTAATTTCATTTTCAAAATATATTAACAACACAATAATATTATCATAGTCTTTTTCTTTTCATAGTATTCAAAGTTTGAATTTCAAACTATCAATACTTTTTGACAATTCTTTAATAACGCCCGAGTTGAAGAAGTTCAAATATACAGATAAACACTTTTTTACCGAAGATACCTTGTTACTAATAAAGATATATACTGTCGATTAAAATACTATCTTTACGATTAAACTGATAACTGGATTCAGCTAGTAGAAACAATTTTTTCAAAAAAAACTGATTTTTATAGCATATTAACAGAGTTGATAATGAATACATACACGCAAAAACTATATGGAATTGTTTTAAATACAAAAACCTCGGAGAAAATAGTGAATTTTATCTTAAAATATATGTATGATAGGTGGCTGGCGTATATATTTATATATATATATATATTTTATATTGTTAACAATAAATTTTCTAGAATTATTATTTTATAAATAAAATATTATAATTTCGTTAAAGTCATTCAAAAATATTATAATTTTATTAAAAACAATCACATAGTAAATCATCCATGCATACTTAGTAGAAAAATCTAAAAATATAATAATTTCAACAAAAAACATAGACAATTTTCATCACTCCTTAATAGAAAAAATGGATTTTCTGAAGTTTATCGGTTATAAAATGTGACATATGATGATTAATTACAAATGACTACTCGTACATAATATGCATAAAATACTCATATATATCACAAGTTGTTAAAAACATACATAAATATTAAAATTTTGTTAAAACTAGTATATTCTGTTAGACGTTACTGTCATTATTTTTTGATTATATATTTAATATAACGTTGTTTAAATTAAATTATAATTATTATCAAAGCATAATCAAATTAGTTTCAGTGAAAACATAGTTATATAAATACTGGGCTCAGAGAAAATACAGTCCTACACATATAAAGAAATTTATAAAAATATATTAAAATGGAGTATTTTTTTATAAATAACCACTATTCATATCTAGAAACATCATAATTATAATTGGTAAATGGTACAAACTTTCAATAAGTTTAAATGGGTAAGTCTCTATTAGGTTAATTAGTTTCATTTTTTCAAGACAAAAATAAAATAATGTAGATTACATGATATATCATATCTTTATAATAATTAATATCAGGTATAAAAAATAGAGAGTATTATTTGGACTTAAAAAGTTTTAGTTGATTCATAACTATTTTATTTCATTCATTAAAATCATTTTATATTATTTTTTTATTTTTTGATATTATTATGATTTTGGTTATTTTTTTAATATATTTAAAATATTGGTTATAGCGAAGATGAGAAATGTAGTGAAAACCTATTAAATTTTGTACAACCCGTAATACCAAACACAGTCTTCCTCATTGCTGAAACCATGCCAACCAATTTTTACTTTTTCTTATTTTTGTAAAATCAATCAATATAATACTGTATAACTTAAATTAAATTTTTTTTTTTTTTTTTTATTAAATTATGTAACATAATTGTCTGATGTTTCTTTTTTTCTTGTACTCATTTATTTCATAAAATGTTGGACCTAATTTAATTTAAAAATATCAAAGTTATTTAACATAATTCAACTTAATCTTACCTAACCAGCACTATAATTTGTTATGTGTATCAAATAATTACATTTAAATAAAAACTATGCAATAAGTAACTGAATTGTATTCATGTTCTTACTATGTATTTAAAATTCACAAATAAGTAAGAATATACAAACATCAAACATTTTTAATCTAGATGACGAATATCAACTTATTTTAGCCACAACATGGCCCTTTCTATTAGTTCAGTATTCATATCATATATTCTATGTTAACTTCTGGTGAATAAAGAAATATTTTCAAATTAATTTTAATATCGAAGTAATTCTTTACTGCAACATAAAATATAATTTAATATTATAAGTAGGTATAATATATTTTCTCTATTTCTTTAAAAAAAAAATATTATATATTAAAACTTTATTGAATTTTCTACAGTGACTAAAAATATTTTATTACTTCATGAAATGAAATATTTAAAAGTTTATAAATATACTAGACATCTTATGAAATAATTTACTTATAGTATAATATTATCTTATTCATATTAATACGTATGAAATAACCTGTGAAATGAATAATTTTAAAATTAATTTGTTTATTAATAATGACAGTGGTTTTATGTTAACAATAAAGATACCATTATAAAATCTTATTGTTGGTTTAGTATTTCGTATAAGATATCCCTCCTACCTTTGTGATTTGTTTTTAACATTAAGTATAAATAATAAAATATAGGTATAATTCAACTTAATGATTATTTAATATCAAATAAAATTTGAAATTATAGTTATTTTATATGTATCATATTTATCTAAAAATTAACATACATTTATTTCTGATAAACATATTATTTGAAAATAGGTTTCCTAAAATCTTAAATTTTATTAAAGCTTTATAATTAATTTCAAATTGTATAATTTTTCATAAAATATTTTTATTTATTAAAAAAATAATATTTGATATAAAAATTAAAATACATTATTGGCCTAATTACATGTGCCTTCTTACTAATTTAAAATTAATTACGATCAATAAAATGATAAAATGATATGGTTAACCATATATTAATTAAGAGCTATTGGATTTTACGATTAATATTAAATTTTAAGTTTTAAAAATCATTATTGTAATAAATATATTTGTAAAACATTTGTTTTTTTTTTTTTTTGTTTTTTTTAATTAAAAATAATAAACTCATAGAAATACTGAAAAAATACGAATAAATTAGATAATTTAAAACTTATCGAAGCTATAGTTTAGTTTTTTGTATATAAAACTCGCATTGAAAAAATTGTATTTATTTATTTTCATAAAATATGAGGGTAACGATTGACTTTGATAACTACACTAGTAAACAAATTTATTCATATTTTGTAATTCAATACCAACTCGAAACATCAAACTCAATAAACTTGAAACATTATATTTTAGTGCTAATGAGTTATTTGTAAAATAACCCTTTATGTTGAAGTATGTTTGAAGAACAATTTATTTTTGTTATTATAATTATATTACGTAATACGTCTTTTAAAAAACATTTCCAAATTATATTAAAAAATTAAAAACGTTTAGTTAAATATCGTATGTGCATAAAGAATATACTTATGAAAAAATCCATTATAATATAATTCGTTTAAGACCTTAAATGTGTATTAATTAATAGAACACATAATTGTAAAGTTATTAATTCCTTCTACGACAAAGAGAATTTTAGAAATTAAAAATATATTTGTTACAATTATTGACTTTTAAAATTTCAAAATGATTTATCTTAAATTATATAACCACTATATTAAAAATTAAAGTAATAGTATGAGTTTACAGAAAATTATACGAGTGATTTTTTTAATTAAATATACTATACCACAAGCAACCATGTTTATAATAAATTAATTTTAACTAAAAAATTACCTGGCATTCATAAGTACCGTTGTCGATCTTAGCTACTGGCGATATCCTTAAATCCCAGTCATCACTTTTTTCAGAATGAAAAACACGGAAACGTCCGTCATTTATGTACGTCAACACACCTGAACTCAGTATATGCCAATCTCTCCGCCGTACCCAAGACACCATTTTCTCGGATATGTTAGCTATCTCGCAGTGAAGCAACGCCGTGCTGCCCAACTGAAC